TTGTTTCTAATCTCTTTTTTTTCCTCCTGGTTCTTCCTAGTGGAAACTTCAGGGAACCGTGAAATAGGACCTGAAAGCCAGCAACAGGAGACAGATGTGACCAGGTCCCCCAGACTCTGCTTGGGAGGGGGAGGAGAGGGATTGGTTTTGTTTTCCCTTTTTTTTTCCTCAGTACTGTACAGGGAATCAACCCAGGACCTTCACACTGAGCTACGTCCCCAGTCCTTTTTTATTTTGAGAAAAGGTCTCAGTATGTCTGGGAATTGCCCTGGCTGAGCTCAAATTTGTAGCCCTCCTACCTCAGCCTGCCAAGAGTATTGATTGGTATTGGAAAGTTGGAGACTCAATTCTTTCTCCTTCCTTCCTTTCTTCTTTCTTTCTTCCTTTTTTTCCTTCCTCTTCCTTTTTCTTCTTCCTTTTTTTTTTTTTTTTTGGTACCGAGGATTGAACTCGGGTCCTTGCTCTTGGGCAGCAGGCAGCGAAACCACTGAGCTAAATCCCCGGCCCCCTCGTCCTTTTTCAACAGGGTCTCGCTATGTGGTTCAGGCTGCCCTTGAACTCAAGCTGGCTCGAACTCACAACCCTCCTGCCTCAGCCTCTCGAGTGCTGGGAGTACATGTGAGCACCACCACAACCAGTTTAGGAGTGTTTGAAGCCTGAAGCTCCTCTCCCTGCCTCAGAGACTCAGCTCAGCCTTCCTCACCCCTGCCCACAACAGACTTAGAGACCACTGGTTTCAGTGCTCCCCAGGGCACACGAAAGGGGTCTAGCCCTTTCCAGGGCCTGGGTGTAGAGGGAACCTGCAGTGCTGGAGCCCAAGGAGAATGGAGGCCACTCCAGAAAGGAGCCCTTGGGAGCCCAGCACATCTGCGCTTTGTGCAGGCCTTCTTCCCGGAGGGAGGGCCCCTGGCAGTGGAGGAGAGGGGAAGAGAGCCAGTGCTGAGTTTAGGGTTTGGAGACAGAGGAGACAGAAAAAGAAGGCAAAGTAAAAATAAAATAAGAACAGAAGCCCTGGGCTGGATATTCTGGGCTTATATCACCGCGTCTCATCATGGGCTCTAACAGTGCTTCACGTGGGCCCCAGCTGTTCCCCTGCTCCCGGGTCTCAGGTCTTGATACACCCACACAGAGGTGGGCAGCACGGTCAGCACAGTCCAGTCCAGGAAGGAGTCCATGCTGAGCCTCACATTGTTCATTGTTCTCTCCTTGTGTGCGCCTGTGGCACTGTGGATGGAACTCAGGCCCTTCACCCTGAGCTACTACCCCAGTCCTTTTTTATTTTTGAGACAGGGTCTCGCTAATTTGCTAACTTGCCCAGGCTGGGCTTGAACTTGTGGTCCTCCTGGCTCAGCCCCCTCCAGTACTGGGGTGACAGGCCAGTGCCAACACCTGGCTGAGCCGGTCATTGTCCTGCACACGTGACCTCACTCCCTTCCCTGCAGCTCACTGACCGAGGACCATTTCTCTCAGCTGAGAGGTTGGGACTGAGGCTGTGTGTCGGTGACGAGCCCAAAGCCCCCGAGTGTGATGTTGGGGACGGCTCCGCCCAGCAGCACCTGTGGACCGGGAGAAAGCCGGAGCACCTGCCTGTGAGCTTTCCTGCCTCTACCTAGGAAGCAAGCGTCCTCTACAGGAGCCCCAAAGGGACAGAGTCTTGGGGAGACAGCCCTGGCCTCAGACAGCCAACTTGGAGTCAAGACAAACAGTCTTACCATCCAGCCAGAGCACTGCCACTCCTCTGACTGCACATGGATGCTCTCCCAGCCCAGACACACTCCCTGTCACTGCTGGTGCTGTGTGTGCAGATGGCTGGCTCCCTGCGGCCCAGGACCACAGCCCACTGTCTCCTCCCCACAGCACCAGAAGTAGGAAAGTGCACAGGAAAGACGCGGTAGCCAGAAGCACAAACTCTGCATCCGATTTGATCATAAACCAGCACCGGTGGAGAATTCGGGTGAATTGTGGTGCATCTGTAAGGCAGAATGCTAAAGCAACTCCTAAATGGGTATTGTGAACTCCTGTGGATTGCCATGGGAAAATGATATCTTTTCTGAGTGGGAGAAGCAAGGTATACAACAAAACCGTATGGACACAATACTATTTACATACACACATGCACTGTTCAAGGAAAAACTTTTGGAGGGAGATCTTCCAAAAGATTGACTCTGCTTATTTTTAGAAAATGAGATAAGTACTACACACTTGTTGAATGGGGGGGGGGATGCTCCAATAGATGTTATTTAATTTTATTTATTTATTTATTTTGGCACCTGGGATCAAACTCGGGTCCTTGCGCTTGCGCAGCAGGTGGCGAAACCACTGAGCTAAATCCCCGGCCCGATCGATACTATTGTAAAGCTCAATGGGTTGGATGGATTCGCCCCAGAGAAGAGCTGCTCAGAGTCAGGTCCCTCACTGCCCTCCCTGTCCCCAGAGCTCCTCCTGGCCCCGAGACGACATGCTTAGGACCCGGAGAGTGTGGCTTCCCTGCCCAGTGGGCGTGAGGTGAGGAGGGCCTGATGCACCGGCGGGCCTGGAGTCCTCAGCGAGTGGGGCTTCGGCTCTCGCGCCGGCTGCAGTGAGTCAGCAAACCGCAGCCCCTCAGCTTTCTCCCCAGTAAGCAACCCTGCTGGGTTCCTTCCTACCCCGTGCCTCCAACGAACCTTGGCCAGCTAGGGCCAGGGGAAGGCATGTTTACTGACACTCTTTGCTTGGCTGACTACTCCCGCCCTGGGCCGCCTGCACACTGCCTTGAGAAAGCGCGCTGCTAAGTCAGTGTAGCAAGAGCCTCCCTCCCGTGAGCCCCACACCTGACCTAGTTCTGCCTCACTGGCCCCAGGTGATATTCATCACCCTGGTTACTCCAGCAAGAGACCTGTTAGGTTGGTTTAGCCAGAAGCCCCTGGCCCTGGAGCTCTCCCGGTCACTTTTCCACTCACTCACCTCCATCCTGCCCTGCCGGCCCGGCCCCGCTGCATTCTGGGTTGAGCTCTTTCCCTGAGGCTGTCTGGATGGCTCTGAATGAGGTTTCCTCATCATGCTGTCCTAAGCAGCTCAGGGAGTTCTTTGTTACCATCACCTAGGACGACCACTTCCGGGACCTGGCCCTCTCCTGTCCCGAGCAGCCCCTGCAGCCCTTCACGGTCCGGTGCCTGCACTTCTTTGCTGTGTCCCCAGCTTTGGAGGATGCCTACTTGGCAGCTAAGTAACCTGGCCTCTATGAATTCTAAGGACATACGGACCTAGCAAAACAATGTGCGGCTTTAGATAGCCTATTCTAGAAAGAAGTCGCTCAAGATATTGTGGAGTGAACCAAGGTTCCTAAGAGCTCGTTATTTATTCATTTATGTATTTATTTGGTGCCGGGGATCAAACTCAGGACCTGGCACTTGCGAGGCAGGCAGCCACACCACTGAGCTAAATCCCCCCAGGCCCTCATTTATGTTTTGAGAAAAGGATTTACGCTATCTGTACATATTATATTTGCATATCCATGGACAAATGTGGAGAGGGAAAGGGGAGTAGCGAGGTGGGAGGGAAGTTTACTCCCCACACACCTTTCCTTCGGTGCCATATACAATTTTTATCACAACAGTATGTTATTTGGTGATTAACTGAAGGTTAAATATGTCAGAAAGAGGTTAATTAAAAATAAAAATTATTTTATTTAGGGTTAATATTAACATTCATATACTAAATTACTATACTGTTGTTATGGAATACATTTATATTTTATACTCTTAGAAATGCAGGGCTGGGGATTTAGCTCAGCGGTTCTGCCACCTGCCTCGAAAGCGCAAGGTCCTGTGTTCAATCCTGGTACCAAAAAGAAAAAAAGAAATGCATAAATATTGAGATACACCAGCTATCATTAATATTAACTTTAGAGATTAATGAATAAAATTCGTAACACAAAAAAATAGCAAGAAGAAGGGGTCACCTGGCCCTTGTGGCCCTTGCCTGTGTGTTCTCTGAGGACCCCACCTGCTAGGCCCCTGGGGCCTGCATCCCAGGCAGCTTTTGAGAATGTTCCTTTTTAGGCCAAGGGTGGTGGCACACAGCTGTAATCCCAGCACTCAGGAAGTTAAGGCAGGAGGGTTCCTGTGAGTTTGAGGCCAGCTTGGGCCACAGAGCGAGGCCCTGTCTCATAAAGTGTTGCTTTTAGCAGCCAGGCCCATGAGCCTAGGAATTACAGCCACTGACGAAGCGAGAGAGGAGGAGCCATTGAGCTCAGGAGCTCAGGGCCAGCCTGGGCAACATTGTGGGACCTCATCTCATTAAAGAAAAGGAAAAGAAATGCTTTTTTTAAAAAATCAATAGATGTATGCTGGCACATGGAGCTCTGTCCAGGGAGGGTGGAGCGGGGTTGCCCTCGTGGTTATTACAAGGCCCTGCCTTCATAATCGGGGCTTTCTTCCATTAGCACCTGCATGCCTGGCAGCCAGAGCCCTACTGTCTTGACACCTGGGAAGCCAGTGCCCTGGCCCCCACTGTTTGGATATAGGTGTAAGATGTGGCTCTGCCCTCAGCTGCTGTCTCAAGCCCCTTCCAGGGCTCACCAGCTGCCCAGGCCCCAGCATCCTCCAGGGCCAGGCCTCTCGTATTTCAGCCTGGAGACAGTCTCCCACTGCCTGAGTCCCGCTGAACAGCTGTGGAGACAGAAACACAAGCTGTACCCATCTGAGCATGGAGCTTGCATTTTACAAATTGACACAGTGAATTTGTGTATGGTTTCTTCATGGCTTTTATCACTAGTGGATGTTGGATAGAGTCAAGTGCTTTTTCTGTGACTGCTGAGACGATCGTGTGAGTTTTGTCCTTGCTTCTGTTTATGTGATGGATTACATTTATTGATCTGCATATGTTGAATCATCCCTGCATCCCTGGGATGAAGCCTACTTGGTCATGGTGTATGATCTTTTTTTTTTTTTTTTTGGTACCGGGGATAGAACTTGGGTCCTTGCGCTTTCGAGGCAGGCGGCGGAAACACTGAGCTACATCCCCAGCCCATATGATCTTTTTGATGATTCATTGCATTCTGTTTGCCAGTATCTTGTTGGGGATTTTCTCTTATGTAACATAGCAATGTATTTTTGAACTCTTTCCATATTGGGGCCTCCTTACGAACATCTACTGGAACACCACTGAATGGATGCAGCACAATGCATGGCATGTGCCCCTTACTGGTGGACCCCCCAAGAGTGTCTGTATTTTGTGCCTACATCTTGGCATACTTTTGAGAGCTCTCTGTACCCCTCCCCTGGAGACTGAATTGAAATCTCGTCCCCCCCCCCCACACACAGGCAGAGGAGAGGGCTTTGATTCTCAGACAGCGTCCTCTCCTGGGCCAGGCCAGTAAAGCTCCTCATTAGGAAAGAGTAGTATAGAACCTGTTAGCAAAAGCTCCCTGGTAGCCGAATTCTGCACTTTTTCTTTACATTTTTCTGTGTTGGAAAAAATTTCTAGAACCATCATGTACTTTTCAGTAAACTAGCAGCTAGATTTCATCTTCAGTGGTTCTGGCGCCGTCGGGAGGTAGGAGGAATGCTTTTCCCTTCTTGCACTGGGCTCCCTCCTGTGACATTACCCTCAGCTGCCCAGGTGTGGGTGGGAGCTGAGGTTTGAGACCATGTCCGGGGATTGGTGGCAGGATCTTTCCTAGCCCCTTGATGGCTCAGGACTTTGAGAAGGTTCTATAAGATGGTAACAATAAAATAGCTGACATTTACAGAGAATTTATTGTGTCAGTCACTCTTCTAAGTGTGGTTATGTGTTAAGACAATGTTTGGATTGGATAGTATGAAAAGTTCCATTTTGCCAATGTAGAAACTGAGGCATAGAGAGGTTATGTATTATGCCCACAACCACACAGCCCAAAGAATGGTAGCACCATCTCCAAAGTTGTGCAGCTGGATAATGTTTTAAGTAATGTTCTATTGTTACAGATATCCCTGATCCTCTGTTTCCTCTTCCGTAAGAAGAGGCTGTGATGCCTACTTCAAGACATCTTTGAGAAATAAATGACACAAAGTATGTGACCATTAATAGATTTCTGGGAGGTCCCATGGGCCAGGGTGGGATTCCAGAGCACACTTCACAAGGACCCTGGTCCTGCAGGCATGCAGACTCTGAGGAACATGCTTGGTCGGCTCTTCAGTGGGGAGTGGTGGTCACCGTGGCTTAGGCTCCGTAGCAGCAGTGTTCAGAGCACTGGGAAGCTATCAAACCAGCCATCAGCAGCTTGCATTCCTCCAGCCGGCCTGCAGGAGAATAGGACTCAGGAATGTGGACAGCCAGGGCTGGAGGGACGGCCTGACTTTCAGGATTGGCCCAGTGTGGCCTGGAGTCACACATCCAGGTTCCTCCACTGCTTCTTGGTAAGAGTGTGACCCTGAGCATGTTGCTTAACCTCTGTGACTTAATTTTCTTATTTTGAAATGGAGACAACGTAACCTGGTGTGTTTTAATCCCAGCACTCTGGGAGGCTGAGGCAGGAGGGTTGCAAGTTTGAGCCCAGCCTGAGCAACTGAGAGCTTAGAGGGATCCTGTCTCAAAAATTAAAAAAAAGATTTGAGGATGTAGCTCATTGTGAAGGCCCTGGGTTCAATCCACAGTAACACACACACACAGAGACAGCGATACTTATCTCAGCTATTATGAGGGTTCAGTGACACAGACCGGTGTATGAACAGGTTAACTTAGTCCCTGGTGCAGTTTAACAAGCATCAGTGAATGGGGACTGGGCTAAGCCTGGGAGCACAGCCAAGTACAAGGCCAAGCTCCTGCAGGAGGGACACAATCCCTGCTTTCACACGAAACTAACTGGGGTATACAGCACTCACCCTCATGGATTCCTTGGCCTCGCTCTCCAAGACAGATCCTTTCATCTGCACCTTGTGTCTTGCTCTTTGTCAATTTCAGTCAAGTCTTGCAAACCCTTGCACAGGCATGAGCCTCCCCAAATTGCTCTAAGCAATTCTGTCCTTCCTTTCCAGTCACCTTGTCTGCACTGGAGGACCCAGTTCTTTCTACTTGTCCTCACTTGCTAGTGTTCCTGGCGTGTTTCTACTTTGGGGCAGACTGACTTGAGGACCCCAGGTGCTTCATAAGGAAGTGGAAGGCAACACTCTCAAGCTTTAGCTTCTGTTGTTCAGGGAGCCTCGGTCAGTTTTCTGCGTGGCCACCAGACAGCTCAAGTGCACACACAGGTAAAGGGAGCCTGCGTAAGAGTGCATGCCGGGGCTGGAGAGAAACTCCTGTGGGCGCCCAGCTGCGAAGCCAGTGAGTGAAGGAGCCGTTCTGGCAGCTGGGTCTCCCAGCTTGTTCTGTGTCTTTGCCGATCAGCCTGGAGTGTGCCCAAAGGACATCTAGACGTTGTGAGGCGGAGGCTCATACGATTGAGCGCTCTCTAAGAAAAAGAATAGAAAATTGGATAGAATGTTGAGCTAGAATGATAAAGCACAACAAACTGTGACAGCTGGTGTGATAAAACTCACATAACAGTAACAACAGCGGCGGTTCCGTGACTGTTGAGAGCGACTTCCTGAGGCAGCTCCGAGCTGCTTTTTCTTCCTTCCAGTACATTACAGCTTCATACCCTTGGTCCCCATGTGGTAACAGTTTCACCCTTTAATTCTCTATGTAGAGAAAGATAATTCGGTCTTTTCTTAGCAGGGCTGACTTAACTTCAGGTCTGGTGTGGATCACTTTGAAGAGCGGAGCGCCAGGAGTTCGCCCAGCGGGCGCCGCACTACCTCGTCTGGCCAGCAGGTGGCGCGGAGCCCTGACGCTTGCGTGCTCGCCTCCCAGAGCTCAACAGCGGACCTTGAAGGCAGTGGGCCCTCGGCCGCTTCTCATGTCTGCTTGTGCTTTTGGAAATGTTGCTTAACAGTAATTGATATCGTATGAATACTTGAAAAGCAAATGGAAGAATGTTTCCCGCATTGCTAGTGTAAGTTAGATTTCAGTAATGGGATTTTGGGCGTCTTTTATAATAAAATATTATAATAATAACTACTTTTGTTTCTTGAGACAGGGTCTCACTGTGCAGTTCAGGCTGTCCTTGAACTTTCTGTGTAGCCCAGGCTGGCCTCAAACTCTCAGTGATCCTCCTGCCTCAGCCTCCAGAATGCTGGGATTATAGGCATGCACCACAATACTTGTTTGAGAGTCTGTTTTGTTTTGTTTTTGGTGGTACCAGGGATTGAACTCAGGACCTTGCGCTTACAACGCAGGGGCAGTGCCACTGAGCTAAATCCCTGGCACTGAGAGTCTTAAGTATTGGATTGTTTTTGTTAGGATTTTTCATTTTATGATACATAATAAATACATTCATCCAGGGTGTTGGTTTATGTACATAACACATCTTAATTCTCTTTGCCTTTCTCTCCCTCCTCTCTAGATCCCCCTCCCATCTACAAAAAGACTACCTCTCTTGGGCCGGGGATTTAGCTCAGTGGTTCCGGCACCTGTCTTGCAAGCACAAGGTCCCAAGTTTGATCCCCAGTACTAAAAAA